TGTGATCGATGGCGGCGGCGTGGATTGACGCGGCGGCCGCGAGTCCCACAATCGATCGTGCCCCGCCATCGATCATGCACCCCAATTGATCACGCCCCTGCCATCGATCACGCCTCCACAATCGATCACGCCCCCGCCATCGATCATGCCCCCACTATCGATCACGTCCCCATAATTGATCGTGCCCCCGCCATCAATCATGCCCCTGCCATCGGTCACGCCATGGGTCACGCCATCAATCATGCCCCCACCATCAATCACGCCCCCGCAATCAATCATGCCCCACAATCAATCACGCCCCACAATCAATCACGCCCCACAATCGATCACGCCCTGCATTTGATCACACCCCACAATCGATCACACTCTCTGCATCCCCCACCAGCTGCCTGATGTTGGCGGCCACCTTGCACCAGCCAGCCTAGCAGAGCTAGAGCGGAGCAAGACTCTCAGGCCCTGCTGGACTTCCTGAGCCTGAGGCAAATACCATCTGGTTGCCAAAAAAGCCTTAAAAGAGCACACTTCCATTCTTGGTCTCCACCCTGCTCCTTCAGAATCAACTTTATGAAGTTTCTAGAAATAGCCAACAGCTCAAAACCACAATTTCTTTGGCTGCTAAGGAGTGTCTGGCAACCTGCTGAGATCTTCTTTTCAAATGAGGGGATAGGCGTGACCCACAACAGTCTGTTTTTTCTGTGGTATGGTTATAATTACACCTTATTCCAAATACCTTCCAAGGTTTTTCCACTATCTTCAAAACTTTTAAAATCACTCTTAGAAGTGGCTTTGTAGCCTTTTGAGTCAGTTTTCAAGGGGGCCAGAAATGATCCAGATGAGGCTATTACTGGAATAGCCCCCACCTCCAGATCGGAATCAGGGCCATACATCTAGAGCTGTCCAATAGACAATGGGAGACATTCCTTGCGTGTGAACTTTGACATGAGAGAAAAGAATAAAATTGTACTTCGCAGCTTCTCGTGATTCTCACGTCATGAGGCAGCACACAGCCTCCTGTGGTGCCAGGTCACAAGACAGCCTCCAGAGGCGCGGGCCCTGTGTTCCTGCCTCCTCCTTGGAAGCACACAGACAGCACCAGGTCCCTCCTAAGCCACAGGGAACTTACAGCAGGCGCTTTTCATGGTTAGAAGAGGAAGGAGTTCTCTTCACAGGGGAAGTGCCACCACTGGCCAGAGCAGTCACAGTCTCAGGACCACTGACCATCTCAGTGACACTGGTGGGCCCGGCTCTGCCTCTGGCCCGAACTACTCCCTACTCCATATTCTTGGTGACTCTGAAACTGAGGCGGCAGAAAGGAGAACCACAGCCTGTGACGGCACGTGGTATCACCAGAGACCAAAAAGAGGGAAAATGACCAGCCTCTGAGGAGAACCACAGCCTGTGACAGCACTTGGTATCACCAGAGACAAAAAAGAGGGAAAATGACCAGCCTCTGATGTGTAGACCTCCTTGCCAAGTTCTTCATTTTCAAAGTCACCTCCTGAGATGGGCAAGACCTGGCTATGTGACTAGTGAGCCGCATAATCATGTCACTTCCTCTCCGTGGGTCACAACTTCGAATAGCTGTGAAATAAGAGGGTGGGGCGAGCGGCCCATACTAGATGATTCCATGTCCTCTCCAGTGCCGACTCTTCCACAACACCCATCTCATGGTGCTGACTGGCTTCACAGGTGGCTACAGGTTAGATGTGTGCTTCATCCTGGAGCAGAAGGATACACTTCTGCATATAAACGTCAATGTTTCCAACAGCAGGTTTTTCCCTTTTCTTTTTTTTTTTTTTTGAGACGAAGTCTTGCTCTTGTCCCCCAGGCTGGAGTGCAATGGTGTAATCTCGGCTCACTGCAACCTCCACCTCCTGGGTCAAGTGATTCTCCTGCATCAGCCTCCCGAGTAGCTGGGATTACAGGCGCCCACCACCACGCCTGGCTAATTTTTTGTATTTTTAGTAGAGATGGGGTTTCACCATGTTGGCCAGGCTGGTCTCGAACTCCTGACCTCAGGTGATCTGCCAGCCTCGGCCTCCCAAAGTGCTGGGATTACAGGCATGAGCCACCGCGCCCGGCCTCTACCAACAGCAGTTTTTGAAGTGGCTATCAATGATTCAGATGAAAGAGCACCCATTCCCTCAGAGACATCACTGATGGTATCCACAGACCCAAACCTCAATCCCATGCACTTTCAGGGTGAGATGTGAATTGCAGTCTTCATAATCAATTGCTTAAATAGGATTCTAGAAAGAAGTCAACAGACTTGAAAGAATGTATCTTTGGCCTCATTCCTTTAAACTCCTTCCTCTTCTAACCATGAAAAGTTCCTACTATAAAGAGGTAGCTCTACTGATAACCGTCAGCAAAGCAGATATATGTGCTGAACTATCAAGATTTCCTAGTCATTCCTTTCTCTTCAGACTGGAGTACAGTGGTACATTCATGGCTCGCTGCAACCTCAACCTCCCAGGGTCAAGTGATCCTTCTCTCAGCCTCCTGAGTAGCTGGGACTCTAGGTGTGCACCTCCATGCACAGCTAATTCTTGTATTTTTTGTAGAGATGGAGTTTTGCCATGTTGCCCAGGCTGGTCTCAAACTCCTGGGCTCAAGCGATCTGCCCACTTTAGCCTCCCAAAGTGCTAGGATTACAGCGTGAGCCACTGCACCAACTGATTTCCTAGTCATTCAGAAATCATGAGCTGGGCAGGCCTGTCCATTTCCACATTGAGTTCTTTTTTCACTCCACCATGAGACCTGCTAAGCCTTTCTCACAGTTATAAGAGGTTAGAAATGGCTGTGAAAAATATATTTTAGTTCAAGAGTTTCACGGTTTTCAAGAGAATGTAAGAATCTTCCGTTCTTTGTTGGGAAATACTGACTGATGACTAGAAACATTCACTGTCATGGGCATGCTTAGGCCAGGAGGATTTGAAATGTAAAGACACTAAAGAAAAAACTCTTTCCTTCAACGCTACAGCAAGCATGGAAGCATTTGCCAGAAGGGTAGTTGGAAGAATCAGCTATGCTTGAATCAAGGCTCATGAACTTCCATTTCAAACGTGCAGGCAAAGATTTCAGAACACAACTTTTCACATGACTTCTACAATTTACAGACAGCAAGACAGTAAATTCGAGAAATGGAAGCAATGCAG